AAATGTGTTAAGATGCAAAATAAACGCTGGGCTGACTGAATCTTCCATCTCTTTATGCACCTGGTATTGTATCAAATCTTTGGAGATTCAAGAGTTAATTGGACACAACACCTCAAAAGGTTTGATGCACGTAGTAGATTAGGTAGATAAACTATGACCAAATGATGATACAACTATAATTGCAGAAGTATCTAGAAATACAAGAATAGCACCAGTTTTTCTTTGTACGTCAGAAGTCAAAATTAACAATAACAGACAAGACTCTAGCTTGGAAAAGAGTTGATAGGAGAGGCTGTGAAAATCAAACTGCTGTTTTCAGATAGCTGAAGATCTGCCATACAAAAAAGAACTGTATTTATCTGTAAGAGCCCCCAAAAAAGCATATCTGGTTAAATACAAGACAGACGCATTGTAATTTGACATTGAAAATAACTTTCTCCTAAGTAGGATAAGAGGATCCCTTTTTAAGAATTTACCAAGCTATTTTTATAATACACAAGGGACTATCAGACATTTTTTTTTTCGCTTTCCTGGACATGTTTCTTGGATTTGCTGCCAGCTTGCTTCTTCTGTAGGAATGTCTCTCATCCTTAGACCCTCTCACAAGATCGATATCTTTCTCCAGACAGTACCAAATGATGCCACCTTGCTCCAACTGATTGATGCAGGACCAGATCTATAACCCGAGTCAGTTCCTTATTGGCTGACTATCTTCTTGCTGATGACTCCAAGTGAGACTCTCAGAGACTAGTTTTCTGCTACAGACCCTGAAACCAGCTTATGGCACTGTTGGGTTGTCTGCCTATAGGTACAGTCAGCTCAGAGAGGGCCCACAAAGAAAAACCAAATCATGACAGATAATGTGGTTGCTGAAGGAGAGAAAAAGGCAAAGCAGCTGCTGAATAGGAGACCAGACACTCTGGTTTCTACTGACTTCCGATTTCTAGTTCATGTGTGGGCTGTGATTCTTGAGTCTGACTATGAAGTACCTGGTATCAGATGCCTTTTTTGAACTAACTTCAGTATTTCTGCTCTCTGCAACCAAAGATGCCTACATAAAAATGAACAAATATTAACAAGAATATATTTCTTTGTGGAGAATTCAACAGGACTTATAAACACTCCTGACTGCAAACTTAACCAAAATGGGCAAAACTGAAGCAGCATGTTACTTTCTGGACTTTGGATTTATAATCATTTGTGTATTCTCTTCCTTTTCCTTTTTTTCCTCACACAGGAAGAATGGTGTGAGAGCACCCCGGAATCCTGAGATCACCCTGGAATCCCGAGAGCACCCCAGAATCCTGAGAGCACCCCGGAGTCCTGAGATCACCCCGGAATCCTGAGAGCACTCCAGAATCCTGAGAGCACCCCGGAATCCCGAGAGCACCCCGGAATCCCGAGAGCACCCCGGAATCCTGAGAGCACCCCGGAATCCTGAGAACAGAAATGTTTTTCTCCAGAACTGAGGAAGATTAACCTGATATCACTAACATTTGCATATTTTACTGGAGAAATCTAATGTCAGATTGATTCTATTTCTCTTGATACCATATTGCTCTCTAATACTCAAATTCTGTAAATTTTCTCTCTACCTATCACAATAATTCAAAAATAACACTAGTACACATGTATCCCTGCTCTAAGCCCATGCTTAGAATACCAATACTGAGCATGCTTCTTTGAAATTGAAAAGACAAGAGTTTCTTCAATAATGGGAATGTATTCTATTATCACTTTTTGAAAATTTCTTCCCCATTTATGATTTTTCTTTCTGTAATGTCCATAGGTACACCATGTCCACATTTATCCTGTGTAGCTTTTCTGTTACCCATACTTTGCCTTTTGTCCCTTTGCTCTATGTTTTGAGATAATGTATTGGGTTAATCTGTTAATTTGTTATTTCATTGTTCAGCTATTTTGTGTCTGTTTATTTCCAACTTCAGTTAACTTTTCTTTTCTATGAATTCTTCCTTGTCTTCCAGTTACTTCTCCTTCAAAATGTATATTACGCTCTTAAACATTATTTTGCAATCATAGTAAGAACAGTATTTCGTTCCCTTTATTTTTTCTTTATTTGAAAGGCAGAGACACAAAGAGTAAGAAATTTGTCAACGGCTGGTTTACACCCTACGTACCGGCAACAGCCCATCCTGGATCAGGCCAAAACAGGTCCTGAAACTCAGCGTGGGGCCTGGTGCTTCTTAGGGTGCAGTGGGAATAAAAAGCAGAGTTAGGACTCAAGCTCAGGAATGTGCACGTCACACTGGGGTCTTGACTACTGCAACACTCAATGTTTATTTCTCTTTCCTCCATTAGATCCATTTCATGGAGCAATAGAGCATAAAGAAAAAAAAAATAGAAATCTAAAGACATGGTCAGAGACAAAAGCAAGACTATTATCTCCTTGGCAGAAGGGAGAGACATGCGCAAAGCACCAAATAAGGTGAGGCTGAGCCTACCACAGTGGCTAAGACTTGGCTCTCCTCAAGGGTTTGAGTCTAAATGGAACCCATGCAAGATAGCACACCAGAATCAGCAAAGGGTATCAGAAGGTAGTAGAACAATAGATTCAGGTTGAAAGGGGGGAAAATGCAAACAACTCCTGTCAATCTACAATGTTTATTTCCCTACATTTTCATTCACATAGGAAGCCAAAATAAGTATTTTCAGACATACGTTCTTTCTAAAAGTACTACAGACATGCTTATTAATGATAGGGTTTAAGGCATCCAATGTGCCTGAAAAGCCTCACATCCCTGTTCTAGCACATTCTGCTGGGAGGGTTTGCATCATGCTACCTAAGACACCTGCATCCCATGTTAGAATACCTGTGCTCGATTCCTGGCCCTGGCTCCCGACTCCAGCTTCCTGCCAATGCGAATGCTGGGACACAGTGAAGATGGCCTGAGACACTGGGTTCCTACCACTCATGTGAGAAACCTGATTATATTTCTGGCTCCCAGATTCAATCTGGCCCAGCCGTGGCTGTGATGGGCATTTGTGGAATGAAATCAGCAGATAGAAGATATCTGTGTGTTCTCTTTCTTGTATATACTTTTTAAAATGACTTTAATGAGTATAATTGTTAGTCAATTATACATGTATAAATTTATATACCTATGTGCATATATACATATGTGCACCTATATACAACCAGTGATCTTCAAAAAACCCATTGAAATGCATACTATGCAAAATTGCATGGGTTTCAAAAAGCTTTTGCAACAGAACATTTTAAATTCTATTTTCCACAGGCGTTGTGAAGTACCCCTGTATGTATGTACGTGTGTGTGTGTGTGTGTTTGTATATTGTGTATCTATATGAGACAGGTAGATCAGAAGAAAATATATTAAAATGTCAACATTACTTAGATCTGTGTGCATGTTACTGTCAGACATGACATTCTACTTTTCTGTGCTTAAAGTACTCCCTATTAAAGATCTTCTAATGATTCCAAAACAGAAAGTCAATGAACATGGCCCACCCAGGAGTACCGACTTCCAGCATCATCTGAGAATAGCAAGCACTTGTTCACTTGCAGGCTCCTCAGATCACCAATGACAGAGCTGTATTTTATGCTCATCGTCAGAAGGCTGCCTACTGTGAATGGTTAAAAAAAAAAAAAGGGACAATTTAAAATCCAGCCTTGCATCTTTGTAAAGTATTTCCAGTCTATTTGAATTTAGCTTTCCTTGAATCCTTGAAGGCTTTTGCTTTGGCGGGGGAAGGACTGCGTTTGGCCAGAGGATTGTCACAGGAGAATGGTGAGAGAAAAGTAAGTGCCATCTCCCCTGGTGAAGGGGGACTCTCTTTAGCAGTCTCTTTCCTTGGATTCATAAATGGATTTCTGCCTCATCTTGCAGTAAATCTGAGACCAAAAGAATTCATAGGGCCTCCTAATGCACATAATGCAGCATGACTGATGAAATGTGGCAGGCACAACCCAATATCTAGTTTTCTGAAAACCACACTGAAATGAACCATCCTGGCCAGAAAGTTAAAACAATACGCAGACTTGAACAACCACCAAAGTTATTTTCCTTGATTCAGTTGTATTCTCAGGCACTTTGCAATTTGGATTACAAAGCATTCTCTGTGTATTTTCTGATGGCGGGTGACAGCTACTGTTTATTCCCAGAAACTCAAATTAATGGTTTTGTTAAATCGACTTTCACCACTGCACACATAAGTCATCCCCTGGGGATCTGTCTAAAGGTCTAAGCCAGTTTCATGTACTTCAAAATGAGTGCTCTTAAGCAAACAGCAAGAAAATTGGTTACCTGAATCTTGAAAGTCAATTGAAGTGCTGTCTGCAAGGACAGAGGAGGGTCAGAAGAAATAGGTATAAAATAAGAACCAACTTCATTTGCCCTTCTCTAGCATAACAATCATCTCAGTGCAAGGCAGCATCGACTCCAACACAATGGCAAAGACTCACGGCAAGACCTGCTTAGTCCTCAGTCTCGCTCAGCCTCAGCTTGCTACCCACCCGGAATGGTGGCCCACTTCCTGAAGGGTTCTAAGTCTTGCACAAGATGGAGTTATCACACAAAATGTTTTATTTATGGCAAATAAAGAGAGCACAGGAAATTCCCACAGCCAGGACTTAGAGAGAAATATGCAGAAGGCAAACTCTTGATCATCAAATGTAAGGTGGGGACAAACTCACACAGGCACAATTTACAGACAAGCTCCAATATAGATCGTTATGCTGACAAGCCTTGAGCCCCTCCTGGGGTGGAGATCATAGCATTAAAAAGAAGCAATGGGAAGAAAAGAAGATGCAGCCACCACTTGGGATACCCCAATCCTACCTCTGAGGACCTGATTCCAGCCCTGGCTGACCAGTTTCCTGCTAATGCACCTGGGAGGTAACAGGTGATAGCTCCTGTGCTCAGGGTTCTGCCACCTGCACGGGAAGCTCAGCTGGAGCTCCTGATTTTGGTCTGCACTACCCCAATACAGCCTTAGCTGTTGAGTGATGTGCGGAGTAAACTACATGACTCTAGATGACAGTGGCCACTGTTGACTATGGTATCCAAAAATTGTCAATATGTGAGACATAGATTATGCTTCCATCAAAGCGTAGGTATTCCAGTGGTGACAAGGAGCTCTGTCATATAAGGGGGAGGAAATTAAGCAAAAAATATAGCAAAGGGTCACCTGGGCTACTGTCTGCAGAGGACGTTCTTAGAGTCCAGACCAGGCCATGGTGGCTGAGGACTGTATCTTTCTATGGAATGTGATTAAAAACCTGGGGTAACTTTGGGGAACCTCCAGAGCTCTGGGGGTCTTAAAACAATCACAGTCATGTCATTTGAGTTACCTGGGGCATTTAGCTGGTAACAAATCCTCCCATCCGTGACATTTCATTCCAACTTCCTGCCTAATGATTTCATAAAAGATGATGAAATGAAATTATGAATGTGAGAATATTTTGTAGATGATAAAATAGCCTAAATGTGGAAGAGGTTAAATTACCTTTCATATTGCTGGCTGGGATTTTTCATTATTCAAGATGGTGTTTTGAACTCCGTGAAAGCAATAGACCACACCACAACTGACTCCTCAGCATCCAAGGCTCTCCTGCAAAAAGACAACACGTTCCTTAAGGGAGAACCTAGGCTGAAGTCAGGAGGGAAGTACTCCAAGTCTCCCATGTGGGTAGAACGGCCTCAACTTGGGTCATCACTACTACCTCCAAGACTGTATGACTTCAGGAAGGAGGCTGAAGTCAGAGCAGAGCCAAGTTCTGAGTCTGCATACTCCAACCTGGGTTTGCGCATCACAAATGGTATCACCAAATGCTTGCCTCAAGATCAGTTGCTTGTGATGAGCTTTTTAACTTTTCTAGATGAGCACCTTTCTGTTGTAATATGTTAGTGAAAGAAGCCAGGAAATATGAGTCCTTTGTAGCATTTTCCTTGGAAATGACTGCAGGTCTTATCATGTGGGTCACATTTGTCTTAGGTATTTGCATGTGTCAAATTTTGATTCTTTGCCGTGTTCCTTTTTTTAAAAAAAATTTTATCTGAGTCAGCTGGAAATTTGCCATTCGATTTCACTTTTATACTGGGTATTCTGAAATGATTAACCAACACAAAAACCGTGTGGGGGTTATTCTGGATACAACATGCAAAGGAAGCTACAGCAGTTAAGTAATAACCAATGTCTTAGGGTAAAGCTGATGTATTGTTTTTAGCTATTTAAATTTCCCAAATATCATCCTAAAATGTCTAAAATTAAATCACTTACTTAAAGATCATGGGAAACAATAAAAGCGGAGTATGCAAAACTGTAGACCTACTTCCAATGTCTATTGAGACAGAAGTAAAGGTTGACAGGGATTTAATAGAGTCAAATAAAGCCCTTGTCAGAGCAATGAAGCAGCAGGAACACAAAGTTAGGGATCACTGGCCCAAGGGGAAGGAACTTAGCTCCCACATTTGTTCATTCTTCTGTAAAGTGTAGAGATAATACTATCATATATGCTTTTGCTTTATGTTGCTATACGTAGGAACATAGTTTCAAAAGCATGAAGCCTTGTGGTCATGTCAGTTATCTTGGTTACAGTCACATACAATTCCTTCTCTTTTCTTCTTAAGAGTTTTATTTATTGGAAAAGCAGTTGCAGAGAGAGAGAGAGAGAGCACTCTTCCATCCACTGATTCACTCACCACATATCAGGAATTTCAACCAGGTCTCCATCATGGGTAGCAGGGGTCCATACATTTGGTCTGTCTTCTTGCTGCATTTTTAGGCACGTGAGCAGCAAGATGGATTGGAAGCTGAACAGCGGGGACTCAGACCAACGCTCATGTAGGATGCTGGTGTCACAGGCAGCAGTATAACTTACTGTGTCAAAATGCTGGCTCTGTGATTTAGAATTGAAGGAGTTATTTGCATTTTACATTGGCAATCTATGTAACAGAGTTTCATATACCATAGCAAAATTTAACCTCTGCATTCTAATCACTAAATATTGGGAACACTTTGCACAGAACTGTCAACTTCAGGCCCGCTGTTCCTTGCGAAGCACGTGGATTCAATTCAAGGTGGTTTTTTCTTCTAAAATGTGTCCTGTATGTTTCTTTCCATGATAACATGTGTGTGGTTTGTCCACACATGCACGGAAAAAATTTGCCTTTCATGGAATTGCCGAAGTGACCCATGGCCTGCTCTTTACTCTCAATATGGGGTATCACATGTGTATAAGTAATGCAATTGTCCTATTATGTTCAGCAGAAGAAAAAGGAGCATGCTATGAATCCGAAAGCTAAAGACTTCCATTGCAACCTTGATAGAGGCTGAATTTAAACAGTCCCTTTCTTTGAACCAATGTGTATTACCTACTTGGTTGGATTTCTTGATCATACTCAGAACGTAACAATCCTCCCAGAAACAGTAATGGGCCCTTTGACATATTGCTGCTGTATCAACAGGCAACCATTTCTGATTTCAGCAGAGGATTCTTCCCCATCACAAACTAATCTCACACCAAAGCTGATGCATTCTCAACTCAATCATGTTTAACCAATCTTACGCACACAGATAGCCAAGTGTCTTTGGTTCTTACATTCCAGGACTGTCATGTTTACTTTGAAGAAGTATGTTTCCTTTCCTTCTGTTAGCTACTTGGTAAATAATACATTTTTGTGAACCAAAGCTGATTGCCATGGAGGCAGCTGAGCCTGAACAATAGAGCCGGAGTTTGAAATTTAATGATACTTAAGATCTAATCCACATCAGAGTGAGTGCTTCTTTTTCTTGATCATAATAATCAAAATGGACCTAGCCAAGACTTCTTAAGGTAGAAAAGACTGGACAAAATGCCATTGTTGAGGTTTTTTTAAGGGATTATATGCAAAATGTTCAGCTTTTTCTAAGCAGCATATGAATGCTTCAAAAACCCCACCCTTTAGTGCAAAATATTTTCATGATGTTGCAGTGTATTTCTGCATCAGTATTATTTATAATTGGTATGCCTCATTTTTAAAAATAAAGCTTTTGAAAAAATATTTTCTGCAAAGCTCTCTGTGTCACAATGTATGGGAAGGACTACTTTTAAAAAAGGTAAAAATGTGTCTTCATTAAGCTTAATAAAATCAACTTCCAATAAGGAGCTTTTAATCAATGGCTGATTCAACTGTTTACAATCAGCTAGAACAGACCTATTTCATATACATGAGAATCAATAAAAATTATAAAAACGTCTTTGGTCCTTTATTTCCTAAATTCCATCATCTGTGTTGCTGTTCGGTTGGTACATATGGTGATCTGTTGTGAAAAATCAGACAAATATAGGTTGACTTCATGGCCCAAATTACCAACTTTTTAAAAATAACTTTTAAGGTTCAACCTTAGTATTTGTTTTCTTTAAATGCAAATACATGTCTATGCGAGTGTGTACACATGTGTCAACACACACTGATGTGTGATATTCACACATCGTCACAGATAAGTTAATCTTGAAACTCCTTTTGTTTTCATTTAAAGTCAAAAAGTTTAGCTAACATTTCAAGTTTAAATATCAGATTTTTTACAGCCAGAATGCAAACAGCACGAGGGTGAGAAAGCAGTTGCTTCTTGCATACATTTGCCTGCAAAGCGACTTATCTAGAGCTGACCCCATTGGCTGAGTCTGTCTTCTCTTGCGCAGTCTGCATGATTCGGTGTGTCACCTGTCTCTTGTTTGTCTATAGATTAGCACAAAAATGTCATTGCAAACTAAGTGAATAGGGCACAGCCTCAGCACCTGCCACTTTTAGAACTCTTTAGAAGATTCCCTTGTTTATTTTGTAGGCACCCAGGGGGGCACTTAAATAACTGCATTGAAACAAACAATACTGGTGATGATTAAGGAGGCTTTTCACATGAAAATTCACTTCAGAAAAATGTTTTGCAGATGTACTGAAGAAAACTGTATTACTAAGACCCACTCAAAATACTTTGGTGGACCAAAACACCTTTATATTTCTTCTGGCAACCTGCCAAGTTCACTGCCAGCTTGAAAAGAATTCTATAGCTGGAGGCTAGAGCAGAAAGTGCAATGATTTAAAAGAGAATTGGCTACAGTAAGAACGATAATGCCCTATATCGTTAAAATGCAACTGGCATCTTAGCCTCCCTACAGCTCTTTGAAAATGTGCTTACTCTTCAACTATTTACAAGGAAAAAATGCGGAGACAATTGAAATCACAGGAAATAAAAATTATTTTAAAAGGCTGAGAAGTATTTGTCAAATGATTTATCAGTATCGCTTCTGAAATAATTGCATGTTCTCAACTGCTAAATGAATAAGAAATCCATACATCAACTGGGCTCATTATGAAATTCACTCATTACACACAAACCTTTTTCATCGTGCCCTAAATTAATTAATACAAGCTGTAAACACAAAAACAGCTGCCTTAAAATTAAATGTGAACACAGATAGACAATGACTTTCTGTATTTCAACATTCGATTAAACAGAGAGAGAAAGAGAGAGATCTTTGGTGACCTTTCTTTTCTGGGTAATCTTGGAAACAAGTATTGGTCTGACAAGCTAAGAAAAAGAAGAGTCCATGAGCCAATTGAAAGATATCTCCTAGATCTTTGCACAAAATCCAAGAGCAACATCTGTCCAGTGGCTTAGATTTAGAATACACAACAAGGACACGCCTAAAGATTTCACATTCAACGCATTCTACAACAATCCTTAATTTCTTCCTATGGGAGAACAAATAAAATTCTCTCTTCAGCTGCAAAGAAGGAACTCTCTATTTAATTCAGCCCTTATGAGTATGCAGATGACAGAGATGAAGTCAAGAATAGGAGGCTACAAATACAACACAGGAGCTGTGAAAAGCAAGCATGTTAGCAAGTCAAATACTCCATGGAAGAAATTCCTCCAAGTATGACTTTGATCAGTCACCTTGGAGCTCAAAACTCCACCACCAGAGACGAATGCTTTCAGGTGGCTCCTGTCTCATAACCAGGAAGTCTTTATCCAAGGTAGACATTCTTACGAGTCATTAAGTCTTCAGGTATCTTTAGTACCAATTAGCTTTATCAATCCTTCACTTCACGCCAGAGCTTAAATAAGCCATGCTGGTACCAGGCCTCAAGAGACTTAAGGCACAG